GTAGCTCATGCCTGTAATTCCAATACTTTGGGAGGCTAAGGCAAGAGGATTACTTGAGCCCATGAATTCAAGACCAGATAGTCACTACCATATTGGACAGCATGGCCCTAAAAGATGACTATTATATTGAGCACAAATGCCAGAGGAGAGTTAACTGTTTACATTTTTGATAAACATAGCAATAGATTTTGTATGGTCCTCAGCTAACAAAGTTGCATAGGTTTTGAGTTGTCTACTCCTACCCCTATATTTCCCACAAGTTTGTTTGTTTTTGAGTTGCAGTCTCACTCTGTAGCACAGGCTGGAGTGCAGTGGCATGCTGATGGCCACTGCAGCCTCTACCTACTAGGCTCAGGTGATCCTTCCACCTCAGCCTTCCAAGTAGCTGGAATTACAGGTGGGCGCCACCATGCCCAGCTAATTTTTTGATTTATTGTAGAGATGAGGTCTTGCCAATTTGTCCAGGCTGGTCATTGAACCCCTGGGCTCAGTAAATCCTCTCACCTCTGCCTTCCAAAGTGCTGGGATTACAGACACGAGCCACCATGCCTGGCCTTTGTATATACTTTCCTAGCCTCCCTTTTAGCTAGAAATAGTCATATGATATAGTTCTGGGCAATGAGTAGTAAAGGGAAGTCTGTTAAGTCATATAGAAAAGATTTTTTGCCCTTATAAGAAGAGAGAGGCTGGGTGTGGTGGCTCACACCTGTTATCCCAGTGCTTTGGGAGACCGAGGCAGAAGGATTGTTTGAGATCAGGAGTTCATGACCAGCCTAGGAAACAGAGCAAGATCCCATCTCTAAAAAAAATTTTTTTTTTTTTTAATTAGCTGGATAGCCAGGCGTGGTAGCACGCACCTATGGTTCCAGCTACTCGGAAGGCTGAGGTGGAAGGATCACCGGAGCCCAACAGGTCGTGGCTGCGGTGGCCAGGAGCGGCCACTGCACTCCAGTCTGGGCGACAGAGTGAGACTCCAACTCAAAAAAATGAAATAAAATAAAATAAAATTAGCTGGGTGTGGTGGTGCAAACCTATAGTTCTTGCTACTCAGGAGGCTGAGGTAGAAGGATCACTTGAGCCCAGAGTTCAAGTTCAGTTTGGGCAACAGAAGACACTGTCTCTTAAAAAAAAAAAGTTCAAGTTCAAAAAAGTTCAGGAAAGAGAATTATCAGCAAGGTGGGAGAGGGGAACGGAAGAAATAAGGGCAAACTCACTCTGTCATCCAGGCTGAAGTATTGTGGTGGGATCATAGCTCACTGCAGCCTAAATGCAGAGCTAAAAGTAACAGCAAAATTCCTGTGATGTTCCTTGTTTATCATTAAGGATTTATGCACACACACTGCAGTTTGGCCCTCAAATGTGTGTTGAAAATTTGAAAAAAAAAAATCCTTTATCTATCATGAAAAAATGTCTATCACTCAGTTGTAAGATTATATTGTGTTGAGGCTACCAAATTTGGGTAGTAGGGGTTGGTCTGAAGATAGTGAGTTATCTCAATGGATTGTTCACAATTACAGATGGAACTCCTCATTCTCTTTCCTCCTGCCTTCTCCCTACTGCACTTGAATAGTCTTTAAAGAAAATTGGGGTTAGTTGGGAATGCATATCAGATTCATTGTTCAGCAGTTTATCTTATTTTTCTTGGGGTCACAATAATTCAAGAATCGAGATTCACATTAATATATGGATACAAATGGCATTCCTTTTTTCACCACTTTACGGTGTCAGGGTCATCACAGGGGAGCATGCTCAGGATGCTGGCTAAAGAAATCGTATGGCTAACTTTTTTCAGCTACAGATTGTGGAGATTTTGGTAAGTATGTTTTCTGAGTCATGTGGTAGACTAAATGTGTAACCAATCTACCAGTCAGTTTCTATTACTCATCAAAGAAGTTTTTTTCCAGTGAAGAAAGATACTTTATTTGACCAGCTACCATTTTTACGCTATAATTTTCATCACATGTAAATAAACTAGGAGTCTCAAAGGAGCACAGTTCTTTACCAATTCTTCATCCAACTTCCACACTTCTGGAGCCATCTCAGCATGTGTAAGGAAACAATTCAGTTCGTATTACACTAGTTATTGCCTTGACAACGTAGGCCATCTTTCTGAATGAGTCCTACTCATTGAGGTGAACAAAATATTCATTCACCTTCTCTACATTTCTTTTCCTTTATGGCTTAGAAAGCTGATTTTCACCTTACCCCAATCAAGTCAGTGTACCTCTGGATAATGAAGCAGGATTTTGAAGTTACTTCTCCCTTTGGTACAAATTTGTGTTAAAATTTGTGTCAAATTGCTAGATGTACTACATTTTTACACTCTCTTTACTTCAATAGCTTTGGGGGGGTACAAACAGTTTTTGGTTACACAGATGCCTTGTATAGTAGCAAAGAAGTCTGGGCTTTAAGTGTACCCTCTATACCCACTTGTACACATTGTACCCCATAAGTGATTTTTTTTTTGTCTCTCTACCCCTTCCCATCTCTCTCTCTCTTCTGAGTCTCCAGTGTCCATTATACCATTCTCTGTGCCTTTGCAGATCCTTAGTTTATCTCCCACTTATAAGTAATAACTTGCGGTGTTTGGTTTTCTATTCCTGCATTAGTTCACTTAAGATGATGTTCTCCAATTCATCCAAGTTGCTGCAAAAGACATTATTTCATTCTTTTTGATGGTGTATACGCACACACATTTTCATTATCCACTGATCAGTTGATAGGCATTTAGGTTGAGTCCACATCTTTGCAATTGTGAATTGTGCTGCAATAACATACTAGTGCAGGTCTGTTTTTCTTTTTTTGAAATTTTTAAAATATTTCTATATCAATATTTTTTATTTTGATATTGTGGGGTACAGTTAAGGGTTAGGTATACAAATATGCTTCGTTCAGGCACCCTTGTTGATAAGGGGTGTCTCCTCGTTCTTTTTCATATAATACCTCTGTTTCCTCAGATAGCTACCTAGTAGTGGGATTGCTGGATCAAATGGTAGATCTACTTTTAGTTCTCTGAGACCTCTCATATCAATTTCTATAAAGGTTATACTAAATTTGCACTACCACCAATAGTATATAAATATTTCTGTTTCACCACAGATTTACTAAATTTTATGATCATAAGAAAATCCAGGCCGGGCTCCATGGCTCAGCCTGTAATCCCGTGCTTTGGGAGGTCGAGGTGAGTGAATTGCCTGAGCCCACGGGTTCAAGATCCGCCTGGGCAACTTGGCGAGACCTCATCTCTACAACAAATCAAAAATTAGCCGGGCATGGTAGCGCGCACCTGTAGTTCCAGCTACTTGGAAGGCTGAGGTGGAAGGATTGCTGGAGCCCAGCAGGTGGAGGTTGCAGAGGCTGGGAGCATGCCACTGTACTCCAGTCTGGGCAACAGAGTGAGACTCCAACTCAAAAAGAAAAGAAAAGAAAAAAAAAGCTTTTTGAAATGAAGTTTCCTCTGCAACTGAAGCTGGAAACATACAAAGTCCTCAAAACTTGGCCCTACCTGCTCACATGTCTGTACATTTTCTCGACTTAATTTCATGTGACTTAAAAATTTCATCTTACTTGTAGAAAGTTCCTTGTTACAAATTAGTCTTCAAATTCATTCAAAACATAACAGAGTCCAAAAAGTTGCCAAATTGTTAACATCTATGACTCTAAGATGATACACGTTTAGCTGAATTAACCAATTATCTAAAGGATTTTTCTTTTTGCTTTTTTGAGCACATTAAAATGTATCATTGGAAATCCTTCCATAAAGACACTTTTCAAAAATGCCTTTGCTGGGCGACCTCCTCATGTCCCCTCCCACTGTGGGAGGTCTGTCCTTTCAATAAATCCTGCTTTCTAAAAAAAACAAAAAAAACAAAAAAAAGCATTTGCTGACTGTTTTCAAACAGATCCAGTCATGTCCATAACACACACATTTTCATCAGACCTCATTTTATAAGTACCACCGGCTTCTAAGCCACCGGAAACTGACTTTGAAGGGATCTTCAAAACATTTCAAAAATTTGCCTGTTGGTTTGTGCTTTTTCTGGCTAATGCTTCTAGAGTCATCCCTCGTTTTAGTTTCTAAATTTGCATGGCTGCCTGTTTTGACTTGCTTCACCATGCAGGTATTGCTCGAGGTCTGCCCGAGCAAGAGGACCTGAGGCTGAGGCTGATTTGCCTTTCTACCGGGACAGGCCCCCCCTTGCAAGGAGGCGTCTGAGCACCAGCCGCGCGTGGGGGACGCGGCTGCTCCGCTCGGCCGCGGGTAGGGTGGCGCCAGCCTTTGCATTCGGACCCGGCAGCGATGACTGAGCGCTCAGTTTCCATGACCGTTCTTATTTTCACCGGTTTCAAGTGTTTCACTCAAACTGCCCAGTTTTAACCCTCCGCTCCGTGTTCCCAGATGAAAACAGGATTTTGACCGTGGATGACACGTCAAGGGAGCGAAAGCCGGAGCCCAGTCGCAAACAACACCGCGCAGGCGCGCTGAGCGCAGCGGGGCCGGGTGGCCGCCGACCGGGCTTCGGATGGGGTGAAAAGCAAAACAAAACACCGGGTCCCAAGGTGATCAACTGGTTGGCTTTTCTGCTTCCTTTTTTTGTTGTTGCTTTTTAAGTTTTGTTGCTGAAGAGCTAGTTGTGGAGCCTGGCAGAGAAATCCTTCGTAGAATTCCTCGGCCCTAGAGAACGGCCGCTGGCCTGTGGGCTGGTTAAATTAGCCTAATTTGTTCTCGCTGCGGAGTTTTGGCCTTTTTATTTGTCTACAGCACTAATCCACTGGAGTGGCAAAATTTAAAGAAAAGAAAAGAAAAAAGGGAGGGGGGTGTGGAGGTATCCTACCGCCACAGAAGGTATTTCCCCTGGCGGGTCTTCCCCAAACCACGCGAGATCTGCCTGCGGGGCCGCGCGATCTCCCCGGAAGGACGTCTGCGCATGCGTCTGGCTGCTCATTTCTGCGCGCCCGAGTTTCAAAACTGTGCCAGGTGGTAGGCGACCACGGTTGAACCTCGGGAAGTGCCCGTCACGTTGATCCGATGGATTCAAGTACACAACCCCACACGCATCGAGATTTTGCAGTCAAAACTCCACCAGCTTGAATGGTCGTCCCTTCTTTCCGTTTTTACATTGACCGTGAACTATGAGCGCAGGTTCCAGCGAAGAGGGGAGTGGAAAGCCGAGCAAGGTCTTACAATGAGGGTGATGGTTGTATGTGCTTGCAAAGCTTACTCTGGGAGCGACAGAGAGGGCTACATCTGAAAGACCACAGGATTGTTTTTCCTCCGGTGACCAAGAGAGGGGATGAGTGTGAACTGAGTTAATACAGTGGGAAGAAGATGGAAAGATGGAGAGGAAAATGAATGCAGTACCTATGGAGCGTCCCTGAGGGTTGAAGCTAGAAAGAAAGGACTGGTGACAGTAGAGGGAATTTTCTTTTAGTTTTTTTAAGTAGAGACGGGGGTCTCTCGAACTCCTCCTGCCTCAGCCTCCCGAAGTGCTGGGGACACAGGTGTGAGCCACTGCACCTGGCCTAACTTGATTTTTATTTTATATTTGAAATTTTCTTAAAAATATTGTGAACCACGCATGCTTGTAAACAGAAAGGCACACTTAGTTCACGCTGTACGTAAGGTGGAAATGGGGAAGTCCTTAAGGCAGGGGTCCCCAGCCCCTGGGCCACGGACGGGTGCACGGTCCTTGGCGTGTTAGGAACTTGGCGGCCCCGGACGAGGTGAGCGCAGGCAAGCGGATCTCCGTCTCCTGTCAGATCAGCGTGGCATTAGATTGTCATAGGCGCGTGAGCCATACTGTGAACTGTGCATGTGAGGGATCTAGGTTGCCTGTTCGTTTTGAGAATCTGATGCTTGAAGATGCCCTACTTCCTGGTCCGTGGAAAAATTATCTTCCACGAACCTGTCCCTGATGCCAAAAAGGCTGGGACTGCTGCCCTAAGGGAATGGAACATGGGCCGTACTAAAAGCCATAGTCCTGAACAGGGGCTGAGGTTGGAATTGGGAAACACAACTAAGGTAACAAGTCAAGAATTTGGGAACTGCATTGGGGATCTGACTAATCTGACCTCCTTTCTCCCTCAGGATGCACGGGACACCTGTTCAAGCACTGGATTTAGCCTTGCAGCATCTTAAAGGTACCCACCGCCACCTGAAGTGTCCTCCTCCTTCCAATGGAGTCCCTTGGCTTCTTCCACCTCCCACCAACTCAACCCTTTTACCAGAATGGAATGTGGATTTCATGGAATGAAATGGTGGAATTTAGTTACCAGATTACTCAGATGTGTCGCTGGCACATATTTCTACCCTCTAGCCTCCCAGTTCACCAGGTATTAGAGTCCACCTTGATATTGGCAGGAATTCTGTGCAGGTTAGCCAGTACATTTAGATTCTTTGTGTACTGTCTCGAGTACAAGGCAGGAATGCTGATGGAATACACAATTTTACCAGGCTTAATAAAGGAGTGACTGATAGGTAAGCAGTATAGCTTCATCTGTAAGAAAAACTAAACAAATGCCTGTTGGAAAATGACAGGATTGAAGCTAGTAGTGATGAAGGATGCAGGTATTAATAGACAGAATGGAAATGCTTCAGTAAAGAGCCAGACCTACCAAGAGGTTCTCCCTAAGGCACTTCATTTCCTTGACAGTCTAAAACATCCTGGCAACTGGGCTACATGTGTGCAACTCATAGAAAAATGCTGCAGGAAAAAGGAGGACTCCAGGGTTGAAGCTTGGGTTTCTGGGGAGGTGTCATGTTTTTGGAAGTGTGATCATCCAGGTCTAAGGGGCATAAAATCTCAGTACGATGCCATAGAAAGTGTGTAGAGTTGAGAATCAGACCTAGAGCCTGACTTTAGGGTCTGCCAATCACTCTGTGTGACCTCTCTAAGCTTATTTTCCTATGTTTAAAATAAGGATAACAGGACTATTGTGATTATAAGATGATTGTAATGAAAAAATATGGTACTGTTGAAAAGACTACATGAGTTACTAGCATAGCACTTGGTATATAGTACATAGAACATGCTACCTACCCATAGAGTTGTGGATGCTGTCTGGAGCATAGGTCCATCTGTATTTATTTATTTATTGAGTTGGAGTCTTGCTCTGTTGCCCAGGCTGGAGTGCAGTGGCACGCTCATGGCTACTGCAGCCTCAACCTGCCGGACTCAGGCAGTTCTTCCATCTCAAGCCTTTCAAGTAGCTGAGACTATAGGTGCACACTACCACACCCAACTAATTTTTAAAATTTATTGTAGAGACAAGGTCTCACCAAATTACCCAGACTCTCTCGAATCCTTGGGCTTGGGCAGTCCTCTTGCCTTGGCCTCTGAAAGTGCTGGGATTACAGGTGTGGCCACCATGCTGACTCTGTATTAAGAGAGCCTTAAGACAGATTCTCTTCCTTGCTATCACGTAGAATCTCCTTGGGAGCTTTTAAAAAATCCTATTGCCTAAGCTTTACCCTAGGTCAATTAAGTCAGAATCTCTGGGAGTGGAACCCAGACATCAGTATTTTTTTCAAGCTCTGCATTTTGCAACTAAGATTGAGAGCTATGCTTTGAGAGTTTCCTCTAGAAGGAGAAATGAAATTAAACCTGTGGTTTAAGATCTCCTGATCTGGGTGGTTATATATTTGAAAAATCTCTGCAGTGATAAAAGCTAAAGCTTGAGACAGTCAGATGAGTAGGGTATAATGAGCTATATTCAGGAGGGTGGGCACTGTGATAAGAACGGGGTTACCATACTGATTTGGGAAAGGCCAGGGATATACAGGAAGAGTTTGAGCCCCTAAGCTGTTCCAATTTTTTTGTGTATGACAGAGTCTTGCTCTGTCACCTAAGCTGAAGTACAGTGGCACAATCATAGCTCACTGCAGCTTTTAACTCCTGGGCTCAAGCGATCCTTCCACCTCAGCCTCCCCAGTAGCTGGGACCACAGGTGCATACCACCATGCCCAATTAATTTTTTTACTTTTTTGTGGAGACTGGGTTTCACTATGTTGCCCTGGCTCCAAGCTGGTCTTTTGATCTAACACAGGCAACACAGATGATGATCTATTTATCACATTACCACATGGTGAATCTTGAGCCATCAGGAGGGCTGATGGCGTAGTGGGTTGGGAGAAACTTTTATGACCTGCTCTTCTTCGGTGGTTGGGAGGGACCTCAAGGCATTGTTGAAATGTGCGCATATGGGTGTTATTTTCCAATGAGAGGATGCAGATGGAATGCTTGCACGGCAGGCCATTGATAATGAAGCCTCTTCCCATAGCGTGTCAGGGTCGATGTGACTGCTGTGACCACACAAGTGGTTTCGTTGGTACTGACACATGAGAAAGGTGAGGTTCCAGCCTGTCTTTGTAGCCTTTCAGTGAACAGAGAATCACTTGGAATAGAAGTAGCATGTCTGGGTCAGGAATTTCAGCTTCTAAGAGACAAGATACTTTCTAGTAGGACAAATCTGGTTTCTAGAAATATAAGTAATTCAGAAGTTGAAACTTTAGTCATTAAATGCCAAGACCCAAATGTAATAATAGTGGTCAGGAATATCTTTTGCCACATAGGTTTACCTGTCTTTAATTGGGTTCCTTTTCTTGGAAAGTGGGCACACATGAGTAATAGAGTCCTTCTGGGACAGGTGGGCACACCAGACAGATTGGTCTCTTTCTTTATGAGTTAGAGTGAGTCAGGACTGGAACCAAAGACAAGTAATGCCTCAGGTTCTTGAGAACTTATTTAGCTGCTGGGGACCACTGGTACTTTTGCACAGGAAGTAAAGCAGAAAAAAGCTTAGTCCCAGCTGGAAAAAAAACTGTAGTTATATCTTTTCTGCTTTGTTGAAGTCAATTGCCTGTTGGACCTTGTTCAAAAAGCTTCATATTGTGCCAGTATGGGATTCTGGTCCTACATATAGTGGTGTCCAGTTCATCTTTCTGCTTCTTTTTGGGATGTTAGAAATAAAATTCCATATAATTGGTATAGTTGAGTAAGGAGACTAGCTTCCTTGGACACAAAAGAGGTATCTGCCATTATTATAGTTGTAGAATCCTGGGATACTGAGTGGAGTGTCATCCTGAGGATATGGTAATCACAAGAACAGAACAAAAGACTTGTCTGAGCCAGAGGTGTCCCAACTGACATTAGAAATTATCAATCTCTGCTGGATCCAGTCAATATGTCTTAGTGAACTTCTTGATTATTTTTTTAAATTTCAAGTCTCATTCTATCGCCTAGACTGGAGTGCCATGGCATGCTCATGACTCACCACAGTCTCAACCTTCTGGGCTCAGTCAGTCCTTCCACCTCAGCCTCCCAAGTAGCTGGGACTACAGATGCGTGCCACCATGCCCAGCTAATTTTTTTAGTTGGAGCCTTACTCTGTCACCCAGGCTAGAGTGCAGTGGCACATTCTCGGCCAACCCAGCATTGGCCTGCTGGGCTCCAGCGATCCTTCCACCTCAGCCTTCCAAGTAGCCAGAACTACATGTGTGCGCTGCCATGCCTAGCTGATTTCTGATTAATTGCAGAGACAAGGTCTCACCAAGTTGCCCGGGTTGGTCTTGAACCTGCAGGCTCAGGCAGTCCACTCACCTCAGCCTCCTAAAGTGATGGGATTGCAGACTGAGCCACTAAGCCCGACCTTTTTTTTTTTTTTTTTTGAGAGACAAGGTCTCACTATGTTACCCAGGCTGGTTCTGAACTCTTGGGCCTAAAGAATCCTCCCATTTCAGCCTTCCAAAGTTCTGGGATTACAGGCATGAGCCACCATGCCTGGCTGAATTTCCGAATTAACATTCAGAAGGCCAAGAACAAAAGCAGAAGGGATGTTAGGAGTTGCCAGGATTGGAGATTGCTGAAGTGGGTACAGGGAAAAGACAAAGATGTTAGTTTGTCCACCTCTAGCAAGAGAATTAGTAAAATGGCTAAACATTGCTGGCTAGGTAAGGGGACAAGGGATTCAGCGACTGCAGGGGTCAAGTAACTGAAGGTTATGAAGTGGGTGAAGAACAGATTATGCAGAAGTGAGGAGTAGAATGGGGTGGAAGGATAGGAGGCTCCGGGTAAGGAGAGAAGCTGGTTGGAAGTAAGAAGAGCAAAATATCCAGTGGTAACAGTTTAGTTAAACTCTCCTAAAAGTATATTAAAATAGGAGTGCTGCCTGACATCTTAAGACAAGAGATGCAGCAGGGCGTGGTGGCTCACATTTATAATCCCAGTATTTTGGGAGACCAAGGTGAGAGGATTGCCTGAGCCCATGGGTGTGAGACCAGCCTGGGCAACTTGGCGAGACTTCATCTCTAAATCAAAATAAATAAAAAAATTAGTTGGGCGTGGTGGCACATGCCTGTAATTCCAACTACTTAGAGGGCTGAGGCAGAAGGATCACCTGACCTCAGCAGGCTGAGGCTGCGGCAGCCGTG